CACCTCCTGTATCCTCACCTCCCTGTATCCTCCCCACCTCACCTGTATCCTCATCTCCTGTATCCTCACCTCCCTGTATCCCTCCCCTCCCTGTATCCTCACCTCCCTGTATCCCCCACCTCCTGTATCCTCACCTCCCTGTATCCCCCACTCCTTATCCTCCCCACCTCTCCTGTCCTCACCTCCTGTATCCCCCACCTCCCTGCATCCTCACCTCCCTGTCCCCCCCTCCCTGTATCCTCCCACCTCCCTGTATCCTCCACCTCACCTGTATCCTCACCTCCCTGTATCCTCACCTCCCTGTATCCCCACCTCCTGTATCCCTCACCTCCCTCCCCACCTCCCTGTATCCCCTCCACCTCCCCTCACCTCCCCTGTATCCTCACACTCCTGTATCCTCCACCCTCCCTGTCTCCTCCTTCCACCTCCTGTATCCTCCACCTCCCTGTATCCCCCACCTCCCTGTATCCTCACCTCCTGTATCCTCACCTCACCTGTATCCTCCCTCCCTGTATCCTCACCTCCCTGTATCCTCACCTCACCTGTATCCTCACCTCCCTGTATCCTCCCCACCTCCACCTGTATCCTCACCTCCCTGTATCCTCACCTCACCTGTATCCTCACCTCACCTGTATCCTCCCCACCTCACCTGTATCCCCCACCTCACCTGTATCCTCCCTCCTGATCCTCCCTCCCTGTATCCTCACCTCCTATCCCCACCTCCTGTATCCTCACCTCACCTGTATCCTCCACCTCCCTGTATCCTCCCACCTCACCTGTATCCTCACCTCCTGTATCCTCCCACCTCACCTGTATCCTCACCTCACCTGTATCCTCACCCCACCTTCACCCCCTCCTGTATCCTCACCTCCTGTATCCCCTCCCCACCTGTATCCCTCCACCTCCCTGTATCCTCCCCACCTCACCTGTATCCTCACCACCTGTATCCTCCACCTCCCTGTATCCCCACCTCACCTGTCCCCTCCATCCTCACCTCCCTGTATCCTCACCTCCCTGTATCCTCCCCACCTCACCTGCATCCTCACCTCCTGTATCCTCACCTCCCTGTATCCTCACCTCCCCTGTATCCTCACCTCCCTGTATCCTCCACCTCCCACCTGTATCCTCCCACCTCACCTGTATCCCTCCCCACCTCACCTGTATCCCCCACCTCACCTGTATCCTCACCTCCCCTGTATCCTCACCTCCTGTATCCTCCACCTCCCTGTATCCTCCCCACCTCACCTGTATCCCCTCCCCTCACCTGTATCCTCACCTCCCCTGTATCCTCCACCTCACCTGTATCCTCTCCCCTCACCCCTGTACTCCTCCCCTCACCCCTCCTGTCCCTACCTCACATGTATCCTCCACCTCCCTGTATCCTCACCTCCCCTGTATCCCCCACCTCCTGTATCCTCACCTCACCTGTATCCTCCCACCTCACCTGTATCCTCTCACCTCCCTGTATCCTCCTCCTGTATCCTCCCACCTCAC